TAGCAACATGAGAGTCCTATCTCTTGATACAAGGGTTCTGTCTCATGACAGGGTGGTAACTTACTTTTGAAAGGTACTGTAACTGTGCTATATGTGCATGTAATTTTAACTTTTCCTTCACCCACTAAAACAAAATTCCTACTACCTAAAGGCTAAGCAAGCTAATTAATAATTATTACCAGCTAATTGATAGCAAAAGGTCTTTCTTAGCTAGGATGGGTCTTTCTCAGCTGGTGAACTCCAGATGAAACAAGATGGAACGTGACTATACCTGGTGTCGCACATATGGAGGATCATAATAAGCAGGACCATAACTCCCTCCAAGTGGTCCTACGTCATCCTCACTGAGACGACGTTGTCTTTTGTATGGTGGGCCACTATAGTAACCATAGCTTGATGAACTTTGTAAAGGAAATTAATGCATAAAATTAGCAGGCTATACAGTTGTGGAGTCACATGTACTTGACTCATTAAAGAGATTGATGTCTAATTATTGATAACAATGAGACACATTTTTTACATTTAGCTGACAAGCTAAATGTAGATGGTTAAAATGCTATTAAGGCAGTTAGTGTTAATGAGTAAAAAGTGCACTGGACTAGGAAAATGACAGCTATGTACATGTATCAATTACCATATGTAAGTAGTTGACTAAGTTCTGCTTATTATCCATACACCTCACAGGCACATATTATGCAGATTTCTCAAAAATCACAAGTGATGGCTAAAATCACTATCTATTCATTCAAGCTATGCTGATATATTTTATTCTTAGTGACCAAAAACCTGTGTTCTTTTCTATGTAAAGTTTGCAACATGACTCAAAGACACGATTCACTTGTCAATGATTTAACACAACATGCAAAACAAAATTGGACACATGAGAGTGCATGGGAGTCACTAGTACCTAAAATGAACCTCTAAGGACATAGCATTTCCAATAAACTTATTTTAACTCATTTCATATGGCAGGATTTAAAACTCTGTGGAGAACCATTTCTATTTGAAAAATGTGCATTTATTAACAGAAATAGTAATATTTGAATTGTGAGTCAATATGTAAGATTTACTGCAGTGATCTGTTTGATTACATCATGTTATGTCATTATTTGATGTGTGTAAGTCTACACTGTAATTACCCTTCATCTACAAGCTGTTGCCTTACTAACTACATGACTATGACTCTGAAATGGAGCTGAAATATTGTAAAAACCTTTCTGCATGGTAACAAACCAAAACTTGGTTTCCAGTGATGTTAACAATCCTCAGACTTGTCTTGTTTATGTCATATTCAAAACTGTCGGATGATGCTGGATTTTATTACTTATAGTGAATAATAGTTCTTTCTCACAGGAGTACTAAATTTGTGCAAAATTATATCAATTTATATAAGTTTGTAGAAAACAATGCTCAAATTTCATTGTTTGCTTGAAAACAATTCTCATTTCGAGCAACTGTGAATGTCCTGACAGTAGTGATATTAGCATAGGCCACAAGCAAATGTTTATACAGCTGCTAACAAATTTTCAGAGCTTTTATAAATTTATGCTTCTATAAAATTAATATAGATCAAATCACAAAGGGATGAACCAATGAAGAGTTTTCTATTTTCTTTAAAACATATTTCCATGCTGCTATTTTACAGATGCATCTTTCAGAAAATCAGACAACACTGTATAGCATGATCCAGATGTAGGTTGTTTTCTGAATGCGTGTTTACTGTCATTCTCTGGTTATAAAAGACAATCCATTTTTGCATGTTTTATAAAGGCATAAAATTTGTTCCAAAAATCCACTCTTGTCCAGACACAGTTGTACATGTTAAAGACATTCCTATGAAACAAAAGAGTAGTACTTTCCACACAATAAAAGCAACAAGTAGTTAGAATGCAATGCTACAGAAAGTGAAAATGTGATTCTTTCAGTGATTCCCTAATTGACATTATTTCAAAGTACTTTGATATACTTTTAAGGTAACTGATCAAAAAATTGATAAATAGCACAACATGGAAAGGTTAACCAGTATTTATCATCACCATAATCATCAGCCATGTCTCCTTTATTGGATTACTGGGCTGCTCCAGCATTTAGTCTAAAACAGTTATAATAATATTGAAGAATTCACTTAAATGTGATTCAGACAAAGATGCACACTTAACATGTCATATAACAAAAACAAAAACAAAATAAAACCACAAAGAAACGTAGAATTACATCTGTATTCAATTATATGGAAACATAATTATATTCTTGCTAATATTATTCTCCTATTTATAATACAGTCATTATTTTGTGTTTTCTGTTCTTATTTTTGGGAAAACACTGCAGGTAGAAACACCTTCCATGAAAGAAAGAGCCTACACACTGTTGCTAGCTTAAAACAAATTCAGTAGCGGCATTAAAAATGAAGTCAACCTTCTCATACCATTATGTAAATGTACGCTTTGAATGCTAAATGCTTTAAAAATTCTATTACATAATAAACTGATCAAAAGCAGACAACAAACACTTGAGGCAAAATGCAATTTTGCTAAAAGCCTAAAACTAGGATATCCAAGCCAGAAAATGGATCTGCCATTTGAGCAGTTGTTTAGGATACAAACAAGGTATAGCTTAGAACCGACTCAACTGACTGCCAATAACTTATACTTTAAAGAATTTAATTTGAACATGCACTACTTCAAGATCGCAGTGGATGTTACCCAGAGAATTCTCCATATCTTGCAATTGGTGGATATCCTCTGAATGATCTCTCACCAGTGGGATTGAATCTTTAACACAACAACAAAAGATATTTGAATAACAGCAGAAGTACAGGTTGAACGCACTTGAACTTAACATCAGCTGGGAGTTTTGTTTACAGCTCAGCTGGTTTGCCATACTACGTTCCAACCTTATACAGTTGATTAGTCTAAAACATTAATAATATAATATGACCATAAACGTTACATTCAACGGTTCCTGATACGAATATATCGCAGCAGACATGTTTAAAATTGATTCAAGGCTAAATGTGAGTTAAAATACCCCGTAACCTAAATGCATATAACCGTGTATAAGAGAAATTAAAGGAGATAAACTACAACTCACCGATGAGGTGGACCCTTAGACATGATCTAAAGTCCTTTTTGTATCAAGAAATGATCGTTCTTTGCACAGTATTCGCATTGTTGTTTGCTAGGTTCTCTAGCACTCCGCTTTAACAAAGCCGCCATTTTGAGAACCAACAATGCGAAGGGCTTGGTACGGCGATGACGTCATCGCTCCTGCTGTCGTGAGAAGCCCAATATGACTCGAAATTACAAGCACTTCTTGATACAAGCATTAAATATCTGGCACATTGTTAGTGCCAAGTTGGATATCCACTGGTTTCCATGGAAACCACCATGTATTAAATTCGTGTGGTAACAAATTTAGAATAATAACAAAACGATTTCAAATTTCTACCGAATAAGTCTTTATTTTGACGGCAGCAATGACCCCCATTTTTTTTTTTTCATATATTCCGGATTGGTATACTTGACACTTTTGGCCAATGTCATCTGGCGGGAAATCCATTGGTGGAATGTTCCTGCACCACGTTACAAGTCTTGACGCGGATGACACGGGCAAATTGATGCACATTAGGTGCATACGTTCGTATGATCCTGACGTGAAGTCCTCGAATCTTGGATGTTCAACACAGAGCTATGTGCGTGCATGTTTATTTTGGAACTCTTTCGAAAACTTGCAAAACTGGATCATTTAAACTTGCTCTGTCCTTAGCTTTTTAAGCAGTTGGACCATTTGCGTCAGCTTAGACGCTGAGACCAATAAAACCAGGTGGTGTATGATGATGATAATGATGCATTTATCAGATTTATATAGCGTATTCTCCATATGAATATGCTTTAATGCACTTTCCAACACTTTGCAGGGGACTTTGCCCAGACTGCATTGAGCGTTTACAAGTTTTGGAAAGGGTGTCTCCCGGGGAGTACTCCCAGAAAAGTTGGGTGGGGGTGTGCGGCCCACTTCCCAAAACCCTTACCCTATGTTTGACCAAAATCTGCGATTTTTCCTACCCTATTTATGACCTGGCCAAAAATTCAATACCCTATTTATGACCGTTGCGGCTGGCGCAGTTACCTTAAACTTAAGTTATGAAGGGCTTTTGGTGACGTTCTTATTGAAAACGAAGAAAAAGTAGCTTCTTCTAAGAAATATACCCAATTAACGACTAGAGTGCTAAAACCATACCCGCCCGGGTCATTTGCCCAAAGGGAAATTCCGTTTGGTTTGCACAATTTCATAATTCAGGCTCTGCGTCTATGCCAAGTTTTGTTTGTTATTTTTAATTTACTCTTTGTATCCAATTTAGGAATTTTCGGAAAAAAGGCCAGACCACAACACCGGGAGCTAAGTCCTCTACTCTTTGCGAGAATTATGTGGGTTTTTTTGACATCCCCAGCTAGCCGTCTTCTGTTGACCAGCAATCAAAGGAAATGAAACATGTGATCGCGGCACTCAGGTCGAATGGCTACCAGAAACGCTTTGTTATTCATGTAAGTAAACCGAAACGGCCTTCTCAACAAACGCCTGCAACTGCACCGGATGGCAAAAGAGGTTTCTGCATTTTACCGTATGTCAAGGGCACTACGGAACCGATTAAGCGAATCCTAAGCAATTACAATGTCAAAGTTGCTTT